TTAATTTCCTTAAACATTTCTTCTTTGGGGAACGCTACTGCATCTTGAACATTGTCACATTTAGAGCTGAAATTGTCTAAACTAACTAACTATTTTCATGACTCTTCCTTTAGTTGGATTGAATACATCTTCATTTCCAGAGCAACTGTCGTCCAAACCCTCCTGTTTAACAAACTGGTACTCTTGTGCTATAAAAAAAGGAATATTAGTATTTATTCGAAATAATAGTAAGAAAGCTCTATCACGAGGCCACACAGGAAAACACATTACCAGCTTATTATGAACTATGTAGAGAAAAACATATATATGATGTTTATACACAATATATATTGTGTTTATACACAATATTATTGTTAAAAAGATACAGTTTGAGCTAAACTGAGGTGTAGAAAGATGAATGACATGGATGAATTAGTTAGACAGGTTTTAATATGGTCCTAACTTGCTGAACACACTGAGTACAGCAAGCTTTTGATGATATTTGGAGCTGTGGCACAGATGGCAATATACTTTAATGCAGAAATCAGTGAGCTGCTTATTCAAATTGTACTCAAAGGTAACCCATTTATTGTTTCTTTGTGTTGTTTACGGTCTATGAAAATGAAGATTCGAAGATGTCACTTTGGTGTATGTTTGCTGTCAGATACAACACAGGTAAATCTATAAAAATGATATGTTTGTATTCGAGTCAAAACTAATCGCACCATCTATTGTACAACAGAAAGCATTTCTCCTGGGTCGGGACTTTTGGACAGCTTTATCTGTCCAGATGCAGTTAAGGTACAATATGATAAACCCTTAACAATCCCAGGCTGAAAGGTCAGTGTCAAACCACACGAATAATCCAAATACAATAATAAGTATCAATAAGGCTAAAGTAATACACCAAGTATCTGGCCCTAAATGTCTGGATGTTTAAATGTATCCAACTGAACCATGATTTGCTTTGCTTCTGTGTGACAGCATGTTTAAGAACCTTTGCCTTGTGTGGCAGGCTGTTGTCATGGTATAAGAGTGTCTTAGCTCTTTTTAGGGAACAGATTCATGCTTATGTTCGTAGCGAGTGTGTGATAAGGAGAGGTGAATGTGGATGGCACTCTCAGCAGAGATTACATTAATGGTTCAAAAGTTATTTAAACAAAGGTTGTCAATTGGTGGTAAATACAGTGTAGGCTCAGTTCTTTATCTCCTCAGGATCCATGTTCAGTTCTGTTGGAAATATTCAAATGCTAAACAAATAAATATATTTACTAAAATGTTTCACAGGTGAAGACTTTTTTAGGAATCATTTATGATGTATTACTGACAATGGATCATGGAATGATGCTGCAATTGCACAAATTGCTTACATGTGTGACATTGGATTTGGTTTTGCTGTGAATACATATTACAGGGAGGATGTACAGACGTGTGCCATAGCATCATCTAAATGCAGCTGAGCTGGTTTCAGAGTCGTGGTAAGAGCAGTGCCACAGATGCATTTCATTGATTTTGCTAACTCATAACTTATGAGGCAATATATCTCACCTCCAATGAGGGGCCTAGCCCTTCGTATGTTTTTGCTGTATGTGGCCCTTATTGTAGTTTCCCCACGGCATACGCACAGAAATAACATCTGCTGGCCCATCATAAATACGTTGAGGTCAGATTCTCTTAGCATCTTTAGCATCACATTCATCTTTTCCTGAGTCCTGATGAATTCTCCTTAACTTCTTTCCTTAACCCCGTGACAAATGTCTCTAAGGTTAAAGAATAGTGGTTAGAAAAACACATAGGACCAGATTTGTTTTGAACATTTGACCGCAACCGTAGTGTCATTGCTTCTCTCTGACACGTTGTGATAGTGAAGGCACAGCATGGCTAATAAAGAAGGAGCAGACCAACATCATCCGTCAAATCAATCTGTCTGATGCTACAACTGATCAGACATGACAGACTGAGGCTCTGTCTTCCTCAGAGGGCTTACCTGGGTCAGCAAAGCTCAAATGCATCATGAAAAGCAAGAATAAAGCATTATGGGAGATGGAAGCAGCCGTTTCTGCTGCGTTCACTGTCTGCCCCGCTCTTTCTAACCTGTTAACCTAATAACAATAAATCAACATGACACAATATTGATTATCTAGCGCAGGTGGTTTCTGGTGATGTCAAAAGATCCCACAGTAATCCACCTTTTAAGCTTCAAAGTAACGCATGTGTGTCGTAACAACCAGTGAGCAGACCACATGTTAAAAACAACAATGGCGACTCCTAAAGAGGTTTGTGTAGATGCTGCTGTAGCATCAGTTATATCCAAACTGGACAGTATTTCTTCATTAAAAGAAAAGTAAAGAATGGCGTTGAAAATATGTTTTTGTTCGAATGGTTTACAGCAAGTTCGATTGACCAAATAGCACATATGGTTTAATGATCTGATAGGTTAAAAATAGCCTGTCATGGATGTGATAGACAGATGGTTCTTCCAATCACCTGACAAGGGTTTTTTGAAACTGCATGCCCTATTCCAAACCGTTTCTGATGTTTGCTTCTCCGATGGGTCTGTGTAACTCACCATCTGGCAGGTTACTAAATAAGGCTTATCTAAGGTTTTGTATTCTGTATTGATGTCACTACCCAAGTGGAAATAGATAGATAGATAGATAGGTAGATAGATAGATAGATAGATAGATAGATAGATAGATAGATAGATAGATAGATAGATAGATAGATAGATAGATAGATAGATAGATAGATAGATAGATAGATAGATAGATAGATAGATAGATAGATGATATTGTATCTATTGAGACATCATGAAACTCCTCACACTCAGTAAAAATTAAAGTTAATTTTCCAGTTTTTTTCTAGCATGTCAATACTTCACATGAACAAACTCATTATCAGCGTGCTAACTCAGATCTTTACTGAGCGTACGCTTGGATCCTGTCATTGAGGATGTTTATTTACTGTAGGTCCATTCTAATTTCACTGGCAGACACAAGCCACGCTCACCCACCAGCGTGTTGTTATGTATATTTTTGTTATATTTGTTATATACACATAGACATTTTATTTATAGAACACAATCACCATGCATTTGCCTCAAGGGTCCGTTCAGCCAAATTACAAGAAATAAATCCTTGTACTCTGGATAATGTAACGATATTGCCAGAGAAGCACACCCACCATCTGTTCCCCTCAGGTTAGCTCTGTCCCCACTGTTGCAGGTCAATGCACTGCTGGTGCTGTTAGCATCGTTAGCTGCTAGCCACCATTCAACCCACTAAAAACAAATGAAATGTTTAAAATTATGACCAATTCGTTTTTTACTCAGCACCACAGTGTCAATAAATTAAATTAAATGTGTTAATTCTTCCCTTATAATGCTACGATGTGAACAACAAACCTGAACCATCAGGAGGAAAGTTCATGTTATGTTGTTCATCTTGTCAAATGAACACCTTTCAGAAGCGGCCATGTTTATTTCATAGTTCAGAGTTCTTCAGTTGATCAGGTTTGAATGCATACATGTATGTTTGCAGCTGATGTTGTTACAGTTACAATAGAATCAGTCAATTATTTTCCAAATGTCCAAACTTTGATAGTCTGTATTATAAAACAATATTCTTTAGCAGAAAGTAACTAACCACATTTAGTGCTTTAGTATTCATGTAATTTAATCCACAATCCAATGTGCATAATATTATAACAAAAAAGAAGTTTAACTTTAAAGCTATTATAGTAAAGTATAAAAAAGGTTAATTTTCAATGGACAACATTTTTTTTCCAGTTTTGTTATTAAACACATCAACATCTCCTCCAAAAATTATTCATACATATTTATTTATCTCTAAACACAAAGACACTATTACTACTGGTACTATTTTTAGTCTATCATCTCCTTGTGATTTCCCAGTTATTATGAAATACCAAAAAATCAAAAGCTCACCACAATGTTCTAAACACTTTTCAGAAAGGTATTTTTCAATCCTCCATTGAATGTTTCAATTTGTCTGCTAAACTCAGACTTATCTTACATAAGTCACTATAAGACATATGATGTCATCAGGGTCATCTCAGTTTGGACTTAGTGACATTTATCACAGAAGGCTATAGCGTTATAAACAAACAAGCTTTGAATTTGTGGGTATTTACTAAAAACACTATCAAGATGCATGGGTAAGTGCACCCCCAACACAACCCTGCCCCCACCCCCACCAGGAGTGTCAGTCATCACAAACTTGTGCTTTGCAGCCAAACACTGTTCAAATGTTCAGGAAATCTACAGGGAGTCCCAAAATACACTGAACAAACAGTAACGTTCACTTTAACTAAAATAATGTCAACAAATGTCACATAACTGTATTAGGTTAGCTGAAAGCAATAATATGAAGTTGTATATTAGTATGTTCAACTAACCTAATATAGTTGTGACGTATTTTTTACATAATACATTTAATAAAGTCAACATTTACATGTTTACATTTTCAGTGGAGTTCAAAAATACTAAGATGATTTTGATATCCTTAAAGCTATGGGGGGTGGGTATAACTAGCCTATGTGAGGTGGTTCAGTGAAGAGCATCAGGCTAACTGTAGTCTAATGTCATGGATCACATGTCATGGAGCACAGAGACTCAAAACAGCTGACAGAGCATCAGGGCCGCATCACAGCCCGGACACACCTGCACCCAAAAACATACTCAACAATATCTGCACAAATGAGCACGGAGCGGATTGCGTCACTGAGAGACGCTGACGTCATGGTGTTTGTTAATAATACGCAGCTCGATGCGGCTGATCGGCACTCAAAGGCCCCGGAATGATGCACACAAAGAGCCGGAACACCCAGCGCCTCCAGCCGCTCCACCCTCACCGCCCCTCCGCTCTGCTCTGCAGGGTGGATGCTGCTCCGTCAACCAACACCCCCACCCCCCCCCGTCCATCACAAGCACAGACACACTCTCTGCACCCGGGGACGCAGCCTCCTCCCCCGGCCTGCGTCTCCTCCGCAGCATCCCTTACCTCTCAGATGAAAATCCTCTCGGGCATTAATCCATGGTCAGCCCGGCTGTGCTTGCTGCCTCTCGGTCACCTTCCTCCCGACGTTGCGGCGCGGAGAGAGCGAAATAAATAATGATCAGAGCCCTGCCCGTTGTGTCCTATCGGGAGGCGAGGGATGCGCCCACCCAGCCCGCAGACACGCGAAGCTTCCCCGGGTCCGGAATCCGAATCAGCCGCAGAGAGAAGCGACGCTCAGCATCCTCTGCAGAAAAACGCTGAAATCGAAGCGAAATATCCTCTGGTTTGTGTTTCCGATCGCCTGTTCCTCCTCCACAACACAGTGGCCCTCTCTTCCTCGTAATGTCTCCTCCACACACACGCACACACACACGCGCAGAGCGGAGCAGCTCTGTCTCATTTAAAGAGATAGGACCGAGCAGCCTTTCTGTTCTTATGTAACCTGAGCAGCACACTCTCACACACACACACACACACACACACACACACACACACACACACACACACACACACACACACACACACACACACACGCACACACACACACACACACACACACACACACACACACACACACACACACACACACACACACTGTGTACGGACCTCACTTACTTCACCTGTGCATGAGCTCGTGTGTGTGTTGGGGTTATTATTCGTAATATATGTACTGTGGTGGAATAATTACTTAACGAGTCCCTATTATGCTTTTGGGGTATTCTCCTTTTCCTGTAGTTGGTTGTATAGGTTTTAGTGCATTGTGTGTAACATAGTGACATCACTAACACTTGGTCTTCTATTGGCTAGAACTTCAACAAATTGCGCTTGATAGGCTGGGGCAGGTTGTCTCTGAGCGGTTGACCAATCACAACAGAGCTGGCCAGCTAACCAATCAGAGCAGACTGGGCTCTGGTTTCAGACAGAGGGTGAAAAGAGGTGCTGCAGCACAGGCAGTATGAGAAAAATAAAGATTTTTTTGTACATGAAAGCATGGAGACATGTCCCAGTAGAGACACTACATACTGATATACACCAGTCAAAAGTTTGGACACACCTTCAAATTCGAAGATTTTTATTTATTGTAATGCATTGTAGATTAATACTGAAGACATCGAAACTATGAATGAACACATATGGAATTATCTAGTTAACAAAAAAGTGTTAAAAAATCCAGAATATGATTTTTATTTTAGATTCTTCAGAGTAGCCCCTTTTGCCTTGAGGACAGCTTTGCACACTCTTGGCTTCTCTCAGTCAGCTTCATGAGGTGTAACCTGGAATGGTTTTCAATGAACACGTGTGCCTTGTCAAGAGTCAATGTGTGGAGTTACTTGCCTTCTTAATGTGTTTGAGACCATCAGTTGTGTTGTGCAGAGGTAGGGTTAGTGCACAGTGGAAAGCCCTATTTGACTACGGTTGTAATCCATATTATGGCAAGAACCACTGAACTCAGTGAAGAGAAACGACCGTCCATATACCATCCATCCTACATAAAACATTTAAATAAATAAAAAACTTCCAATTTGAAGGTTTGTCCAAACTTTTGACTGGTACTGTACACCTGAACATCAGCAGGAGAGGACTCTTTAAAGTATACACTAAATACTGATATACATCTGAACATCAGCAGGAGAGGACTCTTTAAAGTAGAGACACTACATACTGATATTACATTACATTACATTACATGTTACTTGTTAGACGCTTTTATCCAAAGCGACTTACATACTTAATACTGTGGACAATCCCGACAGGAGCAATTTGGGGTGAAGTGTCTCAGGGACACAACAACATGCTGACTGTGGGGTTTGAACCTGTGACCCACTGATCCGAACACCTACGGACAACCCACTATGCCACACGCCCCCCGGTGATATACACCTGAACGTCAGCAGGAGAGGACTCTTTAAAGTAGAGACACTACATACTGATATACACCTGAACATCAGCAGGAGAGGACTCTTTAAAGTAGAGACACTACATACTGATATACACCTGAACATCAGCAGGAGAGGACTCTTTAAAGTATACACTAAATACTGATATACATCTGAACATCAGCAGGAGAGGACTCTTTAAAGTAGAGACACTACATACTGATATACACCTGAACATCAGCAGGAGAGGACTCTTTAAAGTAGAGACACTACATACTGATATACACCTGAACATCAGCAGGAGAGGACTCTTTAAAGTAGAGACACTACATACTGATATACACCTGAACATCAGCAGGAGAGGACTCTTTAAAGTATACACTAAATACTGATATACATCTGAACATCAGCAGGAGAGGACTCTTTAAAGTATACACTAAATACTGATATACACCTGAACATCAGCAGGAGAGGACTCTTTAAAGTAGAGACACTACATACTGATATACACCTGAACATCAGCAGGAGAGGACTCTTTAAAGTAGAGACACTACATACTGATATACACCTGAACATCAGCAGGAGAGGACTCTTTAAAGTATACACTAAATACTGATATACATCTGAACATCAGCAGGAGAGGACTCTTTAAAGTAGAGACACTACATACTGATATACACCTGAACATCAGCAGGAGAGGACTCTTTAAAGTATACACTAAATACTGATATACATCTGAACATCAGCAGGAGAGGACTCTTTAAAGTAGAGACACTACATACTGATATACATCTGAACATCAGCAGGAGAGGACTCTTTAAAGTAGAGACACTACATACTGATATACACCTGAACATCAGCAGGAGAGGACTCTTTAAAGTAGAGACACTACATGATGATATACACCTCAACATCAGCAGGAGAGGACTCTTTAACCTGTTACGCACTGCCCCCCCGGTACCGGGCGGATAAACGCGTCATTTGCAGGAAACAACGTCTAAGGAATCTTAATATTTAATAAACTATGAATGTCTTATATCCATGTAACGGGAAGAAACTCAGCTAACTGATATTTTTTTTTTTAAATCCAAAAAAACCCACAATGCTAACACTCAGCCTCTGAATTAGCCACGAGCGAAAAAATACTAACCTATCACTGCACCGAAACTCACTCATAACTCCCTTATTACTTATCCTAGATGCACAGCGAACCCATCGATTAGCATCTCCTCGAGACACAGAATCTGGGGGTGCCCACCTCAACACTCAGTGATAAACATTTGCGACGCGATAAACGAAAACGTACATCAAAACATGTGGCGCTAGGTAGCTACAAACGCTAACATGGCTTACCTTGGTCAAAACTGGTCTTCAATGGCATTAAAACGATAAAAAACGATGCTGCAGTTAATCCATAGGTTAATCCAATGTGTCTGTGTCCTCTTTGAAATGATTTCTGATAATCCATAAGCAATAAAACTGCTTTTTCGTTTCCAGATGTCAGAGCGAGAGATCGCTTCACTCGGGTGCAAACCTGCATGCGCGAAGCCCCCACCGTTTGTTTTCACAACGAGTGTGTGTGGGGGACTCCCCCTTCGATTCTATTGGCTCTAACGGTCAGAAAGAGGTGTCAACCATCAAAATCGACCAAGGGGGGCCAGAGATATGAAAAAAAAACATTTTCACCCAAATCACCTCAGAAAGAAAATAAAATAAACATCCAGTACAAGCACTTTTATAGTCCTTATTTAAATCATTAGGGCCTTAAAGTTGTAAAAGGCCTTAATAGCCTTATCCAGAGTTATTTTCTCTCTCCATTCATCTGACAGAGCCGAGAGCAGGAGATCGGAGGCGGGGCTTAAGGGAAAACTCAAGTGCTCTTGCTCTATGGTCAAAAGGCCCCAGATGACCTGGGTACTTTCTGGATCTACAGTCGCTCCATTTTCGCTTCATGCGCCACTGAGCAACTCTCAAAGAAATCCATGGGTAACCTCCCCTGCTAGCTTGCGCCACTCTTTACAGCTGTCATCTGATTGGTTATGCTGCAAAAGCTCAGCAGCAATCAGGGTTACATTTGAAGTAATTTTAATTGTGCGCATCACTTGGTAACTTTTCTCTCGAGAGGAACAAAACGGCACAGCCAGCGCAGAGCCGTATACCCACTGTTAAAATGCAGCTTTACCAAATCATTACAGACTACTCAATTAACCAAATTTAAAGGTGGCTCATTTTCAACAGAGGTATAATCATCGGTTTATTTAACACTGAAAAAAAGTGATAGTTTCAAGGTGTCACTTAAAGGTGGGGTAGGTAATTTTGAAGAAACCGGCTCGAGATCGCTAGAATTTGAAAATACACAGCCGTAAAAGATCTGGCACTTCCTTACAGAGCCCCTCCTCCAACACACACAAACGCGCACATGACCAATGAGGGCACGAGATAAGTTTGTGCACAGATGGAAGGCTGACAGGCAGGTAGGCCATCCAGTTATTTTAGCCGGGCCGGCTAAAATGATTGGTCGTACTTTTTACAGTATTACGGCTTCCACAGATGACATTTTGTTATGGATTTTTTGTCAAAGCACTTAAGATATTCATTGCTATCGGGATGTTAAGAGCATTCCATGGAATATAACAAATAGTGTATCTCGAGCCGGTTTCTCAAACTTACCTACCCCACCTTTACATTTTTGACCGTTATGAAAACAACATCCAGGTTCTTTTGCCATACTTCATATTGACACCTAACCTAACTAAAATAATGACACAGCATTAGAGTGTGGATTTTTGTTCAAAAATATATGTTTGCCTAAGACCTTATTTTCTGCCGTATTCCAAAATGCACTATAAGAAATGTCTATGCTTTTTGTATAGGGAGTCCTTGCAATGCTAACACGTCATCACTGCACCACTCATGCACTCAAACTAATGATTGAATGAAAGTGTAAATTACCTAAATAAACCATAAACAGAACTCAAAAGAAACCACCAGAAGGGAGAAGAGTAACCCGCCCCCTCTGGGACCGTCCCCTGTGATGTGAGGACAGAGTAGACATTGATTCATGTTAAAGTGCAGTTTGGGAGTCACTGCTGTAGCCCCTGCCGGGGGTCTGCCCGTTATGGGCATCACCTCGCTCAGGAAGTGACGGCACTCTATCTCCTCTGACTCTCTCCATTTCTTTCTTTGTGTGTGTCTCTGAGTCCAAAGAAGCAGGGAGCTGGAGAGCTTCCTATTTATAGAATTCTACCCGCCTGTTCAGCCTCCCACCCCCCCTCGGCACAAAGAGATACACCCACAGTCACACACAAAGCATCCATGGACATGCAACCATAACACACAGGGTGTTGCACAATTATGTACAAAGCACGCACTCACAAACACATGGACACACACGGACACAGAGGCTATTCACCCTATGCTTCAACATGTGCATTCATACACACACGAGACGT